TGGCCGATATCAGACAGATGGTTCATCAGGGTGACCCGCACATGGATTAAAGGTATGGGCTTGAATTGAAGTATAAACAAAGAATGATAGGTTGACTGGAATGAAGTCTTGATACAAACAAACTATGTAAATATCATAAACATAGACGACCGATATCAGACAGATGGTCCATCGGGGCAGCGAGGATATATAAATCCTATGCCAAGTATTTGATGTAGGGGGGAAAGGGGAGTATCCCGAGAACACCCACTTTCACTGGTAACGACCAATCCATTACCAGTGCCCGGTTAGCGAAAAGAAATATGTTGGGGAGGCAAAATGAAGCCTAGTGCTGGGGGGGTTGATTAAAGTTTAAAGGAGTTTTGGATCCTTCTGATGTTTGCCAGGACTTTACTGCAGTTCGGGTTCAAATTCCGGTATGGTTGTGATGGCGTGAAGTCCTGGTGTCGTTGGTAAGTGGGCGGAGAGCAAGGAAAGGTTCGTCGGGTATATCAAGGTCGAAGGAGGTGTCGATTACAAGAGCGTTAGGTGATTTTGACGAAGAGGGTGCAGAATGTGGGACTGGGCTCAGGGGCGGGTTGCTGGTTTGTTGATATGCATTGTTGGTTACTGGTAGTGGTAGTTTGGGTTGTCTTGTCTTGCGTTTCTATTTCAGATGTGAGCGAAGTTTTAGTTGCTTGGTCTGATGTGATAGGTTGGGTAGTAGAGTTCTGGTAGGCAGCGGTTGTTGTTTGGATGTTGTGAAACATGGGCTTGGGGTGTGGACTGGTAAGGGTAGGGAGTGGTCGAGGCTTTTGAAATGGTAGAATTCAAGAGAGCGGCCATGGGTGAGGATGAAGTCTGCAGTTAGTTTAGAAGTCGTGACAATTTTAATGAAATTAGAGGGTGAACCTGTTTTCTTGGATGTGATTCGGTGAACTGCGTGGATCATTGAGTTGGTTGAAGTTTCGAGGGCTTGATGGATTTCTTCTGTGGTAAAGGATATGTTTCTTAGAAATACTGTGTGGGGACTGCCATTGCTTTTGGGGGGTTGGCAAGTAACGGGTGGGTTTGAAGACCAAGGGTGGCAAAGGTAACAGAGATATTTGGGTGTCCTGAGCTGGAGGAGTATACCTCCCTTGCAGAGACGATGGGTGCACTCAGGAAATACGCAGGCTTGAGACTTGTATCTGCGGATAAAGTTGGTGGTGTCCCAAGGAAAGAAGTTGAGTGGTAGTCTGTCGGTGATTACCGGCAACATTGGGTAGGGGACAATCTGCTTGCTGGCAGGAAGCATGATATCGACCATGACGTGAACGTGACGTTAGTGTTTGTATAGTGTAGTCGGTCTTTATAGTATTCTGGTGGATTGTGGGGAGCATGCTATGATTAGTTGGTTTATCCACGTTTCTGATTGGGAAGATTCAACCAATGGTAGACACAGGTTACTCACCTCTAATCCAGAAGGTAAAACTGTGTTAATATAAAATGATTCTTTAATTGACTTCGTATTTCGGGTTTTGTACAGTGCAGAAGTGTTATTTTTTTCTCTCCTCCACATATTGATGTACAAGTTTTTGTGTTTTTCAAACAGTCCTTATCAGGACTAAGTGCTTAGTTTTAACAAAGTGTTTTGATTCATTATTATATTACAGTTTGTGATTACAGCATTTCAGTGTCTTAAACAGACTTTCTCAAGTCTAACTAATCAAAGTGTGCTTTTTAGTGCTGCCCAGCCATCATGAGCATGAGCCATGCCAACAAGAAGAAGAAAAAAACCTGACCAGCCACTCACTCCCAGAGTCAACCACTTTCAGCTTCGGAACAATACAACATGCTAGCCTCTGTTAAAGCCTCCATTACTTCAGATGGTGACTCAGACTCTTCCTTATCGGCCACTTCAACTATCACAGCCACATCAGACAACTCGTCAAAGGCCAACATAACCCGTCACTCTCCAGCCCCTCAACTCCAGGAGAACACAGGTTCTGCATCAACCTCGAAGCATCCACCAGCCATTGTTGTTGAAGAGATACCAGCAACCCTCAGACAACCACAAGTACCCTCAGAACTCCGCCACCTATTACCTGGCATCATTTTCAGCTATGTTTGCCGACTACCCCGGGGAGGCATAGTCGTCAAGTGCAACTACCCCAATGACTATGCAACACTACTGAAACCATGGCCCATGGACACATTCAATAAATTCCCCATCAAACCACACATCCCGACAGATAACGAGCCTAGGAAAACCGTAATCACCCGAAGCATGTCATTTGACATAACCGACCTGGAGATCGACGAAGCATTTTCCACCTCTACCTCAGCGCCCGCAGTTTAACACCTGAACACCCGGCCAGCCAGGACCCCAGCCTCCTCTGACTCCAAATACCTTTGCCTCCGTAGCCAAGCCTCTACCTCAACCAATTCAACAACAACAACAAGCACCTACAACGAACTGGCAAGTTCTTCGCCCAGCCGGCCTCATCGCCTTCATCGTGGGCATCATGTTCGCAGCGACCAACACTGAAGATGACAAAGCAACATTCCTCATCAACGTTTGCAAAGCAGCCCGCCATCATCTCGAGGTCCGAGGAATCACACCAGAATCCCTAAACGATCAAATCTCAAGTAGGTCTCCAGATCAACGTTCATAGGTAAGTCACACAATTCTTTGACTTTATTACATGTTAACATTCAAGGTGGACTTAACTATAAAAATATGAATTACTAGATTTATCTAATAATATATATATCCCTCAGTGATAACCATTAACAAAAGTCTATTAAACAGTAACTCCAATTTCCGCCTTCCAAATTACAAAATTATTTCTAAGCGTCCGGGTAATTTTCTTACCGTATGTTGTTGCTGTAACTGCAAGGATAAAACTGAAATAAAGTCTACGTGTTTGTTAATTCTTTTATTTGTAGTTTGATCCAGAATAATCTGGTGAAAATTTAATCTACACCCGACATACACGGCATGGAGTTAGAGGAATTCCCTTCCCATTCCCAAAGAACCGACACGAGATAGATCGTGCCTTCCTGTTATTAGAAACGGAAGAAAACACCATATATTTTAATGAAATCCGAATAATTACACATTTATGTAACTGTACTCGATTCTTTGGTATTTTCCGTTACTTGTGCTCCGTCAATATTAGTTACTGCCCTCTAGTGCATAGAAAGTAAACTATATTGGACTCACCTGTTGCTATTGTATAATGATCGGGAAAAGTCTTGGTAACAAATGCAGTTCGAACGCCAAGCTGGGCACGAACTCCAGTCCTAGCCACGAAGTCAAAACTGGGCGTGGCGTACTTTCCAAGATAGTCATATCGAAATCCGTCAAACGACACCAGCAACACCTTATGTCTTGTACTAGCACAGTCTAGTCCCCCGAGCGTGCATATCCCAAACACAAGGATAAGTTTGATAGTACTACGTAGTAGCATGGTAGTACGATTTTCACTTAAATCTCTGATTTTTAAATCTGCCTACTTTATCGATATGTTGAGTATCAACCCAAGTAAATAATCAAGACAGTGCCTCGTCTCTCCGTCTTCTGCTAGTCACGCGCCAGTTTTAAAGCCAAATTTATATACCGCCTACTTTCACAAGGTCACAACTACGCTTGCTTTCTGAAATCGTTTCAAAACACAATTTCGAGGAAATATAATCGTCCAATGAGAATGACGCTGAACAATAAACCACAGTGACTAGCTTAGGTATACTATGTTATTATTATTATTATTACTGGCTTAGATATACCATATTATTATTATTGTTACTGGCTTAGATAAATCATATTATTATTATTGTAGCTTAGGTATACCATGTTATTATTATTATTATTACTAGTTTAAGTATACCATATTATTACTAGTTCAAGTATACCATATTATTATTATTATTGTTACTAGTTTAAGTATACCACTTTATTAATATTGTTACGTTTCCGTTTTTTAATTAACTTATTTTCCGTAACTTCGTACCGACGAAACTTACGCGACACAAGCCTTTACTTAATAAAACTGGTTTATTCTTTCCGAATATAACTTAACCGATACACTCAACAATCGCGCTAAAC